AGAAAGCCTTAGGACTTCTGATTAGATAAAACAGTTGCCTCCACTTTTGAGGGTACGAATTTTTTTTTTTTTCTGCCTTCAGAAACATGGGCTTCATTTGGCCTCAAGATGGCGATGCGATTGTGAAGGTTGCTTTCAAGGCTGCATGGACTAGCAGGGGAGCGAGGGGGAATTAATCTCAGTCGTTTATGTTTCTGCTAAAAAGAGAATCCTTGGCAATGAATCAGAATGGCATTACTACTGATGCTCTCATCACAGAGAACTGTGCTTAGAAATCACAAGTTCAGGAATGATAAATTCCTTCATATTTTTCCAGTTTAAATAGAACAGGACTGAATGAAATACCACCTCTACATTGATGTCCACAGTGCTCACACACACTTGCATACCATATGTAGGCTAAAGGAACAGGAATTGTTAACAGCTGTGATGAATTACAATCAAAAGAAAATAATTGCAGGTCCATGCCAAAAAAGAGTAATAACTAGAAAAATACACTTATGCTGAGAAAATCAAGGAGATTTTAAAGAAAAGTAAAATTTTCAGGCAAAAATAACATTTTAACTTGCATCCACTCTAAGTGGATGTCTACTGAAAAAACACATTTTCTCTGCAACTTATATCCAATGTAGTACATTTTTTTCCCCTCACACAGAGCATGGGAACAGCCAGAGCCATGGGCAGGGACACCTTATATTAGATCAGGCTGCCAAATCCCCATCCAGCCTTGCCTTGAGCACCTCCAGGGATGGGGCAGTGATGTCTCTGAGCGATCAGCACTGATGTTAATATCAAACATTTTCTTTTGGTGATTTGGTTGAAAGGAGAGAGTGCTCTCTCAGCAAGTTGTTGGATGATACTTCTTGTAAACTTTGGAGATAGATCTACAGTCTGGAAGGCAGGGCTGGGATTCAGAGTGATATCAGAAACTAGTAAAATAGGAGACAGGAACGTTATTAACACAAAAAGCAAATTCAAAGTCCTTCACCTGGGACAGAATCATCCCACGTAACAACACGAATGCACACAGACTTAACAACTGAAAAGGACCTGGTGCTTTTGTAGAGCAACAGATTGGACACAGATCAGCAGTGTGCTTTTAAAAATAAAACAAAATAAATCAGTTGCATTCTGGCCTATGTTAGCAAGAGTCTATGCAGAACACTGAGGAAACTTAAGCTTTTGTCATGACAAATTTCAGCATGTCTGCCACAGCATCACAACAGAGTAACTAGAGGTTCTCTCTGCAAACACCCTTCTTGTCACTTCTGTTTCTTTCCCCCTTGGCTCTGTTCAGAGATGGAAAAAGAGGACAAAAAGCTGAGCTACTAGATGTGCATCGTAGAAATGTTTCTGGCATCAGAAATTTTACTGCAACATTCACACTTCATCACTGCAAATGAAAGTTCAGATGAATTTAAAAACAATTCTAACTGTGGTGGCTCATATTTTGTTGTGCTTTTATGTAATTCATATTTCATATTTAAGGTCATGAGTAATTGCTTCATAGGTAAAGCACAACTGTCATTCCCCCAAATGGAACTGCATTCTGTGAAATTCAGCCCCAAAACCATGTTACTGAACTTTATTCAAGACTTTTGTAAACACCAACTATTCAGAAAAGACTGCAACTATAAATCATGTCCACCTCTACAGATGCTGTTATGAATATTTCCATTAAAGCAATACTTTTGTATGGGTTTTGGTTTTTTTTTGTTTGTTTGTTTTTTGTTTTTTTTCATGTGAATGCTTTAAATAAATTAGTAAATCAGCCAGATACAGCACACAGGCATGCAATAAACAAGGAGATTCTATTCTCACTTCCCTCCACACTTTAAGGATCCACAGCTACAGCAGAGATTAAATTTACCACAATTTCAGACACCGCAAATTATTTTGTCTGCTAGTCCCTAACAAAGAATTTAAAATCTCTTCAGCACACAAATATTAGGAAAATCTCATTACAGGGAATCAAACTTTTTTCCTGCAGAAAGGAACAGGGAATACCACTCACAAGCACAACTACATTTTAAGTGACTTACATCTGTTGAGAGGTAACTAGAACCATATTCTGAGGTCAGACTTGCACATAAGAAGCATGATAATCCTATTAACTTTTCAGAATACTTCTTTTGTGTGAGTTAGAGCTCAGGAAGGACCACATGTTTAATCTAAAAACAGCAGCTATGTCTTCTAGATTGGAGGTAAAGGAGCACATTTCAAACCAATTTGAATATGGGGGCTATAGAGACCTTAGTGCTGATGAAGTAAAGCATCACTGAAGCTTGAAGATGTTACTCTACTATTATCATGAAAAGTGATCAGTATGAGCTCTGCAGATACTCTGGACAGAACATGGAATTTTCAGACCATGAGGGCCCAGTCTGCTGAAAACATAAAAATGAAATAGTTTTCAAATGCTGTGTTCTCTAAGAGAAACTGAAAAGACAGATGAATAGCTGCTTAGAAAGCTATAACAAACCATGGAATGCAAATTACACAAAAACAAAAGATTCAAGAACTTCAGACTAAAGCAAGCTTTGAAGAGAAACTCAATCCACAGTAAACATAGCTGGCACTGTGGTTCAAATACTGCTCTCCTAATACAGACACACAGTCTTCTTGGAACATCATTTAAACAGACCTCTAAGCAAAGAGAAAAACAACGTCTGCTAGTACACATGCATTATGCTTTGATACTGTGGAGTAGATCCAAACAAACAAGGAGTGAAGATGAAAACTGAAAACACAAATATTACGGTTAGTTCAGCTGTCTCCTAATTTCTCCTTGACAAAAACTTCTAGAACAAATTCAGAAGTGGCTCGTGGAATGTTTTGGGATATTTTTTTCTAATTTTTTTTTTTTTTTTAATGCAAAAGAAACATGGTTTTGAACATTACTGTGTTCTGCTTTGCAAGAAAATGTTAAAAATATATCTTCTACTTTTATAATTGTGATGCCAAGCTTCCTTGTTATCTTGAGAAGTGCCAAGGACACTACCCATAACCCAGAAATCTTCTGCCAGAGCTGATTTGTCTAAACAAAGCTCAATTTCAATAAAATACACTTTTTTCAAAATACAAATAATGCTCTAAAACCATTTCACCACCTGTGCTACAATTAAGCCATCTACATTATTGCTAATGAACTCTGTTGTGAACTATGGAGCCTATTCTATTTCATCTTTCCCACAAAAAGAGCTAAATCTTTTAAATACCAAAGTTTGCTAAGCCTGGAAGTTTATTAGAGAAAATCACACTGAAACAGAGGGAAAAAATATTGGCTTGTTAAACCAAAACATGAAGCCTTCTTTAAAGACACTCCAGTATCAGCTGAGCTGTATGTGCTGGACCAACTGATGGAGGCACATGTGGCATTGTGCTTCTCAGACTCCTTGAGTAATACTATGCTTTGGAAATTGTCATGGCAACAATGTACTTCTTTACAAATGGAAACAGTATGGTAAATAGGCATATAAAAACCCCCTTGTAAACTGACAATAGCGTTGTTTAAGCTTGCATGCCCTCCTTCAGTGACAAACAGCAGCAAGGGTGTTGGTTGCATGTGGAAAATCCACAGAGGCAAAATCCTGTTAAAAGGCTTCTTGTGTGCCAGTGGACAATTGAAGGAAGCAAAACCTAAGCAGCAGGTCTACCTCCTGCTCACATGAGGTTAACAGACATCACAGGTGGAAGAACACGTACAAGAAACGAGTACTTGTCACTTTGTGCTAAGACTGTAGGTAACTTCAGTTGTCAGAACCACATAATAAAGTGAAACGCTAGTTAAAACTGAACATAATAAATGCATGCCATCCATGTTCTCAGATAAGCATATTAGAGACATTTCATGTTTCTGCTGAGATGAATTAAGACATAGAGTTCACTTGAAATGGGGCTTGGTGAATTTACCACAGTATGTGTCTGCTAAGTATTGCAAACAAATGATTGGAAGTACATGAAGGAATTCTGCTTTTTTTTCGCTCTCTCACTGTGCTAATTTCTCAGGAGAACTGAGGATACCTTTATTCAAGGCTAAGGCTAGATGTTAGGAAGCCATAGCACATCACTGGGTTCCTAACTCCATTTCCACAACCTTTCTTTTACCTCTCATCTATGCAGGCACAGAACAATTGCTGCTTTTAGGTTGAATGGCATTTCTACAAGATTAAATTTTCATTGGAAATTTTTGTATTTTAAATTTTTTTTTTCCCCTAGTGTTTTCAGTTTGGTTAATCTTTGAGGGTAAGAAAAAAAACATCACCTCGTTTACTAAGTGGTATCAACGTCTATTGTCTTTTGCAACACCAAACCAGATAAGTAAAACACTTTTACAATCTGTTAGCTATTATAGAGCTTGTAGCATTTTCCCTCTTTGATATCATAGAAATAACTCATTATTAATTATTTTATTGTAGCAATCAATCATTTAAAAAAAAACGCAAAAACTCAACTTAAGCCAGCATTTTCATGTTCAACTCCACTCTGGAAATACCTGAAAAAAGTTAATGCTTTGAGTGTCTTGTTGGACCTTTATCTCTTCATATATATATAGAGACGACTCCATATATATATAGAGAGACGACTTTTTCAACGTCAATAATGATCTGAATGACTGATTTCTATATTACTCTTGACTGAGATTTAGCTTTGGAATGAGCACAGAAAGGTACAGCTCTCAAATGGCTAATTTAGAGTCAGGTTTGTTCCTGATGAAACCAATAGCAACACTTTGCCTCTCAGTGGCAGAATGAACAACAGCAACTGAGTACGTCTGAAAATTCTGATTTGTCAGCCAGGGTAACTCTCTACTAAAAGAATAATACAATCCAACCCAACAAATGTAAGCAGTGATAGCTTTAAATCTCTATCTACAACTCCAAATCTCCACCAATAAACATCTACCCAAGAATCACCTGCATTCAGATTTTAATATCAATAAAACTTTTGCGGTTTTTCCCAGACAAAGAAGAAAGTAAATGCATGGACCACAGTCCTACCTGTGGGTCAGACAGTCGGGAAATGTCAGGATACAAATAGAATTTTATCCCTTCGGAAGCACCTGGCAACGTTACCCCTCGAATCAGAAGAATCATCAGCATGATATAGGGGAATGTGGCTGTTACGTATACAACCTAGGAAAAACAAGCAAACATTAGAAAATCATTTTCTTCCAAGTGCAATAAAGTGCATCGTCTATCTTCCAGTTAGATTTTAAAACACTTAAATTATTTCTGGAAGAAAAGGGGCCTTTGATGCCTTTGTTCACACAGATGAATGTTGTCCTTCAACCATATTCCCTTTTAAATGATTTACAACTTGCAGGAAAGGTCAATATTTTTTATAAAAACTGTGAAGTTTCTAAATCTATTATTTACTCTGGTTAGTGACAGTTGGCTGCATTGTATATTGTGGTGTACACATACACTATACAACTACTACTCCAAACACTGGTAGAGGGACACTGATTCACAATCACAAGAAATTCATTGTGTTATCTTATATGAAATATATAACAACACATGCAGTGAACTTTCAGCCACCTAGTAATTACTAAACTGATGTCATATGACTGCCTTGCTTGCAAGTCCGTGCTTGAAGAATGAACATTTCATAAACATACATAAATACTACGTATATCCTTCTGAGATCTGCTGTGTTACCCTTATCAAGTGAGGCATTCTAAGGAAGTGCTGAAACCCAGTCATTTTTGTTTTTACTTACGTGGCCAGATTTTTTTCAGAAATCGGTGTTCTTTAGTAGATGGGGAACAACTGAACATTTCTGGAAACCCGTGAGAAGTCATATTGTCCAAAGAAAAAAATGAGCAGAATTTCTCTAATTATACAGTCACCTAGCTGAGAGCCAAATATAGCTATTCAAATCTGGAGTTTGATTAAATGATTGATTCCACATCACTACAAATATATTTCCTCTAAGAAGTATTGTAACTTAAACTTAATTCTCTGTAACTATTTCTATCTGCACAAAGCAGGTCCAATATACCCTAACATGGGATGATGCTAATGTTCTGACTTGCACAAATCAAACTGAATTAAACTGCAAGAATAGGGAGCAACATTTGGTAAAAAGATATAACTTGTAAAGCCCTCAAAAACACACATCTCAAATTCAGAATTGTAACATCAGACAACCCATGACAGGACAAACACATTTTCATGACAAATGAATGGAATTTTGATTTTCAAGCCACGTTGAATAAATAATCCCAAATATGAAATCTTGTCACGTGTGCTTCACGTGGCACAGACAGAAAAGAAGAAGTTGAAAACATGCAGCAGATCTCTGAATGTGTCCATCTGCCCAAGTCATACTTAGACACCTCATTCTTCCGGGCCTTAGTAGGAAGTAATTACCTACACATCTTTCAAGTCCCCTATCCCTTCTGAAAATACAAATAATTATTTTCCCAGGAAATCAAACCAACCATTATAAACCTGTAAAGTGCAGAATTCTGAATTGATTAATTCATAGGTCAACACAATGCAAAATGGAAAGATTTATCCCACTACTTTCTTCTACTATTATTGACTTAGTGAAAATGCAAACGAATATGACTGAGTTCAAATAGATATCGTCTCAAAGAGACTGTCCTCCATAGCAAGGCTCAAAATGAAAACAGAATGTGGGTTAACGAGAAGAAAAAGAATGAACATGGTCCTGATCTGAGTCCTGTATTGAACGGAGAGAGTGGGGATCCCCTTCCTTTCTGCCTACAATACTGAAAAAATAAATAGGGAGGAAAATTGGTTCAGTATTTCTGGCAATAAATGCTAATATAAATACTCAAAACAATAAATGAGATACCAAGGAAGTACACATAGGAAAGACACAGCCTTCCTGAGCTAACATTGCTGGTAGCTTCTTTGCTACTGCAACAGGTACTCAGAGTGCTGAGAGGGGAGGGAAGGCCACTATTTGTAGTTAGTGTTTGAGTATCCCTGTGTGTTGGTGTACTCCATTCCATTGTGTCCAGTGTATTATTTGTCACTGTGCTTGTTTTATTATGCTTCTCAAGAGCTCATGAAATTAAGGAGGATGAGGCATTTTAGAAATCAAATGTCATTATTATTATCATCATCATCACATCTGTAGGCATTAAAAGTTTCCTAAATCATTTTCTTTTCTTTCAACACACCAAACCTCTCTGAATATAAATGTGAACACAACTGTTTCTAATTACACCACATCCTGTTTTAATTGACTTTAATTGCTTGGTATATTAATTTGCATTCCAATGCTCAAAATGCTTTTTTTAAACTTGTCAGAGCTGTGCCAGTATTAGAGGAGTTGGAAACAAAATAAAAATGTCTGGCATGGTGTTTCTTGCACTTTGTTCTCACTTTGCAATATAACAGGGAAATCTACAAAGATGTCTATACATATCGCTATGTAGAAAGACACCATGAGCTTTGACTGCCATGAACTTTAAGTATCAAAACATTGGAACTTCAATTAGCAGAAATTTAAGAGACTTAGATGCTTATGCAACATAAGTTAGGTAGGCATATAATTACACAATGAAAACTCACCTAGCTACCAGTTGTGTCTTTTCATACCAAAACACCTAGATCTGGTACAAGGGTACAGATCAGGCTATGAGGACTGTTGAACTTCCCATCCTAAATTAAAAAGGTGCTTTTCAGAACAGTCTGGCAAGACCAATCCCAGATATTCAAGTGAGAGTGACTTGTGAGCAAACGTAGAAGAAATCTCTGATAAATCTACGAGAATAAGGAGGAAGCTCCGCATGCAATGAATTGAGCAACATAGTCTCAGAAGTCTAAAAGCTTAAATGGAATAAAGATTTAGCATCACTTGATATTTTAGAACAATATTTCCCTTGAATTCCTCTATTTTTCTTCAGGAGATAAGTGAAAATAGCAGCAATGATGGAATCATCATCAATTTGCCATAAATCAGAAGAGTTATACTGAGAAAATGACGTGACTCCATGCTTTGCCCATCTTTAACTTTCATTTAGAGTTTTTGTCTATTGGCTTGTCATTTAACTTATTTATTTAGTGGACACAATGACCACTGAAAACTCGATTGACAGCACCAACTTCTTTTGTCAGCAAGAGACTGCTTAAGTTCTCAGGTATCAGTAGCATACAAGGCTTGTCTACAAAGTAGAAAAAGATGAAATTATATTTCCAGTGCAGTACATTTGTGCAGAAAAACGACTTGGGAACCAAAAATTTCACTGCCTGAGTGATGTGACAGAGGAAAAGAGTAGTTCTTATCCTGCTTTACAGTACTGATGTTAGTAAAATTGTACAAGGAATTATTTCATCACAGTCTGTGTCTTTGTACATATGCCAATGTATTATAAATGTAGGCACATATTCCCTTAAAAAAAAAAAGTCTACATGCCACAGTTTACCCAGCCATCTTGTTCCACTAATAATTCTTCAGTTTTTCAAATTTTAATATCATAGATGTTAACAGCAGATAACGTTATGATTTTCTTTTACAACTATACATGCTAATTTTTCCATTCATCATTGTCTGAAACTCTTCTGCTGACATGACACCATACCATCTATGAATATACAAATCACAACAGAAGAGAGATGAGATTTTTCAGCACTAACTGGATTTACAAGAACAGTACAAAGGAATGACAGTTGATTCACAAGTTTTTTCAAAACTATGTCAAAAAGGAAAAACACATTTTCTAGATCTACCAATATTTTTAAGCTAAAATTTCATATGCAGAAAAGAAACCAAACAAAAAGCCAACAAAATACCAGATAAGTGGATTTGTAAGAGGTATGAGTGGGGTAGAAGATAGATCTAGCACAACAGATGAGGGCTCTATTTTCTCTGTGTTTTTCAGATTTACTTAGCATAGTTTGCTGTTTTTCTTGTTTGTTAACCCATAGAGACAAAACTGCACCAGAATAATCTTCTTAATCACCCTTAGACCAGTTTATTGTTCACAAGACACAGAGTCTTTTGCAGCTATTCATTATTAACGTGTGACAACTTGGTTCCACTTGGTATAGAAAGCAGCTGAAAAACCAACAGGTAAGAAATTTCTGATACTTATTTCTTAGCTCTGAGGAAAAAAACACTGGGAATGCATGGCACAGTAGAAAATTAGGTGGCAAAAGATAGCTTCAGAAAGGTATAAAGGAATCTTAGTAAGTGCACAGTGATTACAGGAAGTAGAATATTAATCATGAAATAGTAACACCAGAAATACATAAATAACTTTAATGTCAGATCACACAAGTTCAATCAATGGCTGAGGAACAGAAAAGTCTCCATTTAGCAGAGCTGTGCAAGTCCTTATTTTTATCCGTGCGGTAATTAAAGCAATGAATAAATAAATAAATGTCAGAGTCAAGCTGATACAGTTCTCTTTAGAATTAAATGAAAACTCCGAAACTTCATATCAATACAAAAAATCTATTCCATTCCATTTTGTCTGTGTTCCTTTTAACGAATGGATGGAAGATCCATCTTGACTGAATACCTTTAACAAATCAAAGTTAACATTCCTAAGCTTCATTTAAAACTTAAACATGGGTGAAGATACTTTTCCCCTGTATTTGTTTCTAGTATCAATTATTATTTAAATTGGGTCTGATTTTATGATCTTTGCAGCATTTCCCAAATTTCATTTCAACAATATTTTCTGTGGCTCTACTCAGAAATTCAGGAGGAGGATAGGATGGCAACATATTTGACTAAGTGGAATCTTAGTACTCTACCAATCCAGGATTACAAAGAACATAAGAAAGTAAGGAAAAAGTACCAAAGACAGACAATAACAATGAACTACAGCAGTTTCTTCTGAAGTAAACAATAAACACAGATGAGTTGCTATTTCTATACATATATATTTCTTAAACAACATAAAGTGTTCTAAATTTATTACTTGAAATTCTTTCTCAAGTTATTACCAGCTGGCTTTGTTTCCAGATCTCCCAGGATTATTGAGATCAAGATCTGTCTTTTCTTCTGAAATTGTTCTTCAAGATTGTTGGCTATTTTGATGTGGCCTACAGATCTTACATTGAATTTTAAAAATGTATTGCATAGGGCAAATGCAAAGTTCTACTTCCATTTATTTGTGTAAGATTTCCTACTTTAGTCAATAAAA